ATTCCTGAGAATATGTTGGGTACTGATGTCACTCTTTCTGGAGTCCATTCTCTCCTCAACTAATGGCCTCTTGGGCAGAGATCTGCCCCCACCTCAACCACTGACTTTGGACATGCTGTCCTACTGTGCTTACAGGAGATATACTTAGAGACCGCTGAACCCTGCCAAATCAGGGTAAGACTTTCAACCTCCCTGCTTCTGTGTTGGTCGGTCAGATACTCTAGTCCTTACCCAAAGCTGGCTGTCCCTATGCTGCTGTGAGACTTTGGGTGACTGTCCAGGTAGCCTGCTGTTTCTGTCTTCACTGCACCTTTTGAAAGTTGCTCGCCTGCACTTCCTGCCTACCCTGGTATTGTTATCCTCCTTCTAAGGTCTCTGATGAGGTTGAAGACTAGACTGTCATAGTTATTGTCCTTTCTTCCTAGATAGAAATATTAGGGGCAAGACTTAAACTTTCCAGCTTAGGACAGCTCTATAGTAATCTCTGTTTTGCCTTTGCCCTAGGACTGAATATTGTAACATAATTCTTTCCCGCCTGCTGACTGAGTCCTGCCACTGTCTCAGCCCCCAATAATACATGAGACACTATATTAATTATGAAGCTGTTGGCCATTTGCTATGGTTTCTTAATGGCTAGCTCTGACTTAATTATTAACCCATAATTACTAATAAATATTTCTATAAGGTCTTGTCTTACTGAAGATGTAGCCTCATGTGTCCTCTCTTCCCGGGATCACATGGCGATTCTCTACCCTTGTATTTCCCAGAATCCTCCTGGACTCCTAGGCCCACCTATCTTGCTTCCCTGTTGGCCAATAGTGCTTTATTTATCAACCAATGGGACAACATATACACAGGAGGACTTCCCCCATCAGGATATATAGTTCTTGCCTTTTGCTCCAGTTGCTTCACTGTCAATAGGTCTTAAGGGTGTTTGTTCTTACTTTTCCTTCTCCTGGGGAAGACTTTATATTTGCTATCTTTGTGTATAGTTTTGTATCAAGTCTAAATCTTTTTCTTTAGACTAAAAGAGGAATTGTAGTGGGCTATCTACCATGCCTGCACTTGTAGCACCGACCAAACTGGCGTGGTCACTGGTGAGTGATGGGTGAGTTTTAGGTCTGGGGTCTGGGACAGGTAGGCTCTCTCTTGCTTCTGGGCGGGTCACAGAAGAGCAGCTGGTGCGGATCCTGTGAGCCGGAACTGGTGGTGGCCATCTGCTTCTTCTGTAAGTGACTTCTCCCTGAAATAAATTATATTTAATATTAATACCTAGTCCCATGAATCATTATCCGTTCCTCCACACTGAACAGTCAATAGCTAGGCAGGAGGTATAGGCGGGACTTCCTGTGAGAGAGGGAGGAGGTCAGAGATGAAGTTGGCTGTGAGAGAGATGCCATGGAGACTGAGAACAAGCCAGACACACAGAATGAGAGAGAGGTGAAGGCCACGTGGTAGAATACAGATTATTAAAATTATGGGTTAATGTAAGTTATAAGACCTATACAAGGCTAAGGCCAAACTTTCATAATTAATAATAAGTCTCCATGTCATTATTTGGGAGTTGGCTTGAAGGACAGAGAAAGACTTGAAGGTAGGGATGTAATGACTTCTCAGACCTAAGATAAATGATAAAAGGCTGTTTACTGGGGGACACTTACACAGAACTATACAAAGAACCACGGGGGCGTTTCTCTGCCCTTCCTACTAGATCGGATGACCCACCAGAAAGAACATGCAAACAGAAGCCAAGCCTCAAGCTTCTCTCCTTCCACTCTTGTCTGCTTGAAGCCACGAACAAATGGGTATGGCCACCATCACAGGTTCACAGACGAGACGCCTACAAAGACTTGCTGTACTTGGCCTGGAGAGCAATTCTCAGACACCAAACACTCCTCAAGCATTGGCATTCATTGCTTCTGTATTTCCACGCCTGCCTCTGGCCAGACCTCAGCTACCTCTGCCAATGGCACAGATGGACACATGGACAAGCCCTATGGGAAGCAAAAGGAGACCTTTGTGGCTTAGGCTGGAGCTGAGGGAGTGGGAAGATGAGAGTGTTCATATCCAGTGTCCAGTGAGAAGGCACAATGGGGGCCAAATGCCAAGACCCGGCATCAGCTCTTTGAGCAAGGGAATCCCGCAGCAAAGGCCAAAAGCAAACACCCAGGAACTTGCTGAGGACCAACCGGATGAACGTTTTAGTAACTGCCACTGCACACCTTGAAAGCAGGGTCCCTCAAGTCAACCTTCCAGCTCTCAGGGAAACCAAGGCACAGTGGGATATTGCAGAGGGGCGGGGCAGATCCCCTACAACCAGATGGCCTCCCATGTCCTCTGAGTCCTTATATCTGGGTTTAGTTTTGAAAAATCAGAACATAGTTTAAGTTTGCAGAAATACACACACAGAGAACAATGTTTCCAAAGCTCCTCTCCTAAGACATTAACACACTTCCTCTTTGGATCTCTCCTGCGTTATGTAGCAGTGCATGGGGGGGGGGGGGCAGAGCCTCGCCCTGCTCGCATCTGGGAGGCTCCTTGCATGCATGCCTGCATAACCATCCATACATTAGGCCTCTGACAGAGGCGGGATTGAATCCAGTTCCTGAAAGGCCTCAAGGAGACTCTAAGGAAACACACACACACACACACACACACACACACACACACACACACACACACGGCGAGAAACAGAAGCAAGCCTCCCAGGTTCGAGAAGCTGCGACTGGCTTTGAGGTATATTAATTCTGGAAGAATTGGCGTCAAGCGGAAGTGGGATGGCAGCTGCATCTCAGGGTGTACAACATCAAAACCATATCCCAGGTTCCCAAACAGAACCCGGTACAGCTCACGTTGGCAGGATGCTGGTTTCCGGCCCCTCCTGCAACAGCCAGCTTCTTTTTGGTTCGTCAAGGTATCTGGCCAACAACAGACGTTTATCACCAGTGACTTCCTAATTACTATTAGAACACTTTTACGCCCTTTGCCCAGTTTCATCTGCTCTGTCTTGTGTCCTAACTGGACTTTAACCGCCTGTGACTCTAAGTAAGCATACTTCACCAAATACTAGAATCCGCACTTACTGCTCCTTGACCCAGAGTCCCATCAATAACTCACTAGAGTTCCCGGAGGGATTTGCTGTATAACAAGGTCAACAGGCAGAGGCTGTCTGTGTTAGTGGCATGCTCTCTATCTCCGGTGGCAGAGCATGTGGCTTGTCCTGTGTGGTCCCCGTAAGGCGACCAATGCCTTTCCATTGCTCTGGCCTTCCATAGGACCTCTCAGAAGTGCCTGGTGTAGACGATAAGTTACGGAGTTATCTTTCTAGTCCTCCCCCCAGACTCCCATCACAAGCTGGGCAACTGAATGTAGACGGGACTTTGGCTTGTTCGTGTGTGCTGCCGTCGAAGAGGTTAAATATGGGCCTCAGATTGCCACAGAGAGAGCCCGCTCTCAACAGCAGAAGCAAGACTTCCATTTCTGGCCTGCTTTCCCGAACAGAGCACGGACTAAAATAAATCTCCTCACCCAGATGTTAGCTGCCAAGTCGTGCTGCTCTGACACACAGCTGTTTTTCTATGAGAGTAAAATGCCAACACTAATAATAAATAAATAAATAAATAAGAGTTAAGACTTAGATCATACAACAAAATGCCCAGCATGTCATGTCTGGAATTGTTGACTGAATTTGAGCGGAAAACCAGCTTAAAGTTTTGAAAGTGGCAATAAGCATCCAGGGTGACATTTTTATTACAAATTAGAATGCTCCTTGTCTCTAAGTCTGTGCCAATCCTCCAAGGAGAAAAACTTAACGGCATTAGAATAACGCACAGTTATAGTTATATTTTTAGCTCAGCAATTTCAACCCAATTTTCACACTAGTGTTTCATTACAATCAAACGTTTCCTGGGTGGTTTAAAAACATGAAGAAAATCTGATCTGAACCCTTCTTTTTTTTTCTTGGAGCTTATGTGAATACAGCTTAACTTATTTCCCAAGAATAATGAGATTTCACATGAAAAAAAAATTAAAGCAGGGCAGGCAAGATGGCTGAATGAGTAATGACACTTGCCATCAAGGCTGGCCACCCTAGAGTCCACATGGTGGGAGATAAAAGCTTAAAAGCCAACCTCCAGAATGCACACAGATGAGCCCCAATAAATAAATAAATAATAAGCCAGGCGCTGTTGGCACACACCTCTAAAACAAGCACTGGGGAGGCAGAGGCCAGCCTGGCCTATAGAACGAGTTCCAGGACAGCCAGTGCCACACAGAGAAACCCGGTGTCGAGAAACCAAGAATAAAAATAATAGATAAATGCAAGAAATAAAAACCAAAGCAATACCCAAAGGTGGTTCTTCTTTTTTTTTTTTTTAAAGAAAACTCAACTTGCTGTGCACATTAAATAATTCAAACCAATGATCCTTTTAAGTCTCTAGCAACGCATGAACAGTGGGGGGAAAGCCATCTAATACTTCATGCATTTAGGGCATTACATTAGAAAGACTTCCAGCTTTTATGGATGCAAATGTATGCGGAGCAGACAGATTGGAATCTGTACAATTTAGCAGTGATCGAAACTTGTAATTTTTGAAAGTGGGACAGATGTCCGGACTGGTTACATTAAGATGCTTCTTACTGAAGACGAAGCAGCCAAACAAACAACGCTCTGGCCTCCTTTAAGCGGAAACAAACAAACAAAGCCGCCGCAAATTGCAGCCCGCTGTGTGAGTCTTGCTTCCTTCCTGGGTTCTAAAGTTGAGCGGCAGCTCGGGGTAACAGAATTAATATCTCCTGTGCCATCGCTGCATTATTTATCATCCTGTTCTCAAGACACAGACATGGGGGAAACGGCTGCCCACTCGGGCCCCGCACTGGGAGGAAAGTCTAAATTAAAGAGCAGAGACATTTCCTGGGCGGCGGAGTATGCCCTCCTTGGGCCAGACTGGCAAACCGAGGGGCCCCTAACAAAACTGCGCATGTGCTGGATGGAGGCCGGCTCACTTGATCTAGACGCTCACACTTGACGAGCTTCCATTTGGAACGTCACAGCTTCCGAGATTTATTCAAGGATTGTCGAGTGTGTGCGACTGTACCAGGCGCTGGGAGATGGAGATGGAAACAGCATTTGTTCGCCCGAAGCCAACAGCCTAGCAGGGAAGGCAGGCGACTGAACATACTATTAGAACGGGGTGCTGAGTATAATAGTAAGCTTCTCTGTGAGGCATCCAGGTAACTGAAATGAATCTGGGTTAATTCTCCCTGGGCCATCATCAAAAATGACGTGGTGACTATGTTTTAAGTTGGGCCATGAAAAGACACCGAAAGGATGCTTTGGCTTGCAGCTGGCCTGAGCCCACTCCAGAATGTCTGTGCGCTGCAGGCACCTTCTACAGTGTGTCACTGCCGACTTCAGGACTCGGGGGCCCAGGGAAAGACGGTGGTGTCACCCAGAGTGCTATTTCAGAAGGGATTGATGTCGTTCTCATGGGCTTCCAGTCGGTTGTCACCAACGCGTGAAAAGGCTTGTGCCTCTTGCTTCCTTGACTTACAATGCGATTGCTGCCACCATAACGGGGTCTGTAGGGATGAAGCCAGAGATGACAGATCCTAGCGCCATGCTCTGGACATGCGCAGCTGTGATTTCTCTTCTAGGTAAACCACCACGCGTCAGGTATTTGTTACAGCGGCCCACAGTGGCCCAAGGGAGCAGTGAAAGGAGGCAGAAAACCATCTGCACAGAGGTTAGAATATATACACATACAACGCTTCGGAGAGAGACACTGTGCTGCATACGTCGGCAAGGTTCTTTTGCTGAATCTGGGGCTTGCTGATTCGGTTTGACTGGCTGGCCAGCAAGTCCCAGGAATCCTCCACCTTCCCAGTGCTGAGATTATGGGTTCATGCCATGGGAACATGCTTGGAGCTTACCACTCACATGGCAAGTACTGTACCGGTTGAACCGTCTCCCCGGCGCTGGTAAATACTTCTTTTGTTTTCTCACTATGCTGCCCTGGCTGGCCTGGAACTCTCTATGTAGACGTGCCTGGCCAACAACTCAGAGATCGACCTGCCTCTGCCTTCAGAGTGCTGGAATTAAAGGCGTGCGCCACCACACCAGCCTCCCTGGATGTGGTGGGAAAGCTAGGCATGGCTTACCCAGCTTTATTTGGTAGGTTCAAGGGACTTGAGAAGGGGAATGTTACCTCAGTAGGCAGAGGATGACAGGGGAAGGGAGATCGAGGAAGCTTAATTACCTCTTCCTCAAGAGCCCTGCCTGGAGACGCTGGCCCGGCCCAAGGCAGCTATTGGGGATAAAGGAAGAATGCCTGGACCACACATCCCACCCACTGCCCCCCCCCCAGGTAGCTCCTGCGTGCCCAGAGTCACTTCACTCCAAGCCCATCTCCACCTTTCGTACTGCCACACGCTGGCCTAGTTGTACATTCTAGAGAATTCCAGACACGACAGCTCCTGGGATATCAGGGTTTGCTCTAGAGAATTTCAGGCACGACAGCTCCTGGGATATCAGGGTTTGCTCTAGAGAATTCCAGACACGACAGCTCCTGGGATATCAGGGTTTGCTCAGGCTTGATTGCCGTCAGCAGCTCCCAGATCAAATATTTATATTCCTTCAGCAAGCTAAGAAGCAGACAAGGCCTATGCTACAAAAGCTCTTCAGACTTCTTGTTATAAACATTCAAAGTGAGAAGGTGAAGCAAGGTCTTCTTAGAGAGGGGAAATGACGGAAAGAGTTTGCTTTTTAAATTCTTCCTCTAGACAGAAGGACATAATCAAAAAACCCTGCTGAGCTGCGAGGCTCACGCATGCTAGGCAGGCACTCTCAATGAACCACACCTTTAACTCAGTTCTCTACTGTTTTGACTTGGTTTTGCCTGTGTGAGTGCACGTGCATTCAGGCGTATATCTCCAAGTGTGTGTGCACGTGGAGGAGGAACTCGGTGTCTGATGGCAGGGTCTCTCACTTGAACCCAGAACTTGTAGCTTTGACTGGTTCAGCTATCCACCCTTCCTCTCGGAGCCTGCTCTGCCCTCGACATCTTGGAAATACAGGTTGGTCACCAGTATACCTATCTAGCATTTATGTGGGTGCAGAGGGTTCAAACACTGCTCGTACTTGCCTGGCAAGTACTTTTACCTGAAAAACTATCTCCCCAGCCTGGTTTTGTTGTTTTGATCTCTAGATTTATGGATGTTTAGTGGAGTTTTTGAATCTTTCCTTTTCTGCTGGACATAGGCACATGACTCTAATTCCAATGATCTGAAAGGTAAGACAGGAGTATTGTAAATTAGTTGAGCATACATCAAATTAGCTCTACTTTCTTATCTAAACACACACACACACACACACACACCTTATAAATGACCCCAAACGAGTCAAACTCACCTCCACTCTCATCTAAACACACACACACACACACACACACACACCCCTCTTTATGGATGACCATTATTTCTTCCCAAATTACACAACTGGGAGTGTTTCTCCATTTGAGAGACCAGGGTTCTGTCATTCCTAAGACCCTGAATCTTCTCTCAGTGACAGATCACGGGTGGCCTGTGAGAAGTGGTTACATGGCCTGCCTTTTGCCCTGAAGATTCTTCTCTGGGAACAACACGAGAGATGTGCACTGCACCTTCTTGACTCCCATCTACAGCTTTACAAAGGCCCTTTCATCTCAAGAACAGGACGGAAAAGGTCCTGGGTCCTAGTTGACCAGAAGTCTGTTCACCTGGCAGACGGCAGTTTAAGCCCCAGAGTCCAGGGACAGGTATATTGGTGAGTTTTGTTGAGGAAAACATAATAACCACTTTTTATTGTGAAGGTTTTCAAGCAGAAAAAAAAAGAGTGAAATGCACTCTCAGTACTGCCCTAAGTACTGATCAAGCACTTGCCACGCTGGCTTCACCCACCCTCTTTCTCTCATCTTCTTCTCTTCTTCCGCCCCTTTCTATTCCTCTTCCTGTCTTTGCTGCAGCATTGTAAAGCAAATCTCTTTACAACAGTTTGCTGTATGTCAACAATGCAATGTATGTGACACTGGGAAAAAAATTAAACGTTTTACATTTATTTACTCTGTGTGTGCTTGGTTTGATTAATAATAAACCCAGAGTCCCCAATAATGGGTCAGTTATCACATCAAGGGAAGACATCAAAGCACTTCCCCCCGATGTCACTTAACCAAGTGCCACCCCAGATTTGCATTCTTTAGTTTACTGTCCCTGTGTCTTCTCCTGTCCTTTGTCTGTCTCTGTGTCCGAATCTGTGCCTGCCCGAAGGCTGTCCTACGACTCTGTCTGTTCCTATGTGTGTGTGAGTCAGTCTGTCTGTCCTCATGGAAGGTTTTGCTCTGTCTTTTATTGAACAGCAAAGGAAGGAATCGGGGATTCTTCGAAAAAATCCTTAGCAGAATTTAACACTGACTTCAACTGACTCCACACCACCCAAAAAACAAACAAATGAACGAACAGTACCGGGCCACATCTGAACGCTGCTTTCAGAATGTATGGTGATTACTCGTTTTTTATGAGGACACTTTCATCCTAATTGATAACTGCAGCAAAACTGTACCCTAACACAAAAGCAGACACACATGCATCGCCCTGGGTCAGGGGCATGGAAGAACCCCGCTCCAGATTACAGCTAAGCATTAGCTTAAGTTGTGAACACTGTTTAAACGGGAGATCCAAGACAGGGAGGTTGATTGTTCTCCTAAAGGAAGGTTAAGCAAGCAGGCTGAGAACACAGTAAGACAGCAGCCCTAAGCGACTGCGAGGTACACTGCTAACTCTGGCTGTGGGGCCCGGGCAAAGCTCAAATCTCTTGTACTGTAAGAGGTATTTTTATCGCGATGCAATGCCACACATGTGGGTGCCTGTGCGCAGCATCACGTGCAAAGGCCACAGTTCCCCCTTTCTGCCATGCTGAGCACTGGGGAGCAAACTCGGGTCATTGCGCTTAGCGGCCGGGCTCTTGCCTGTTGGGCCATCTTGCTGTCCCCTCCCACTTCTGGTTTTTGGGATAGGGTCTCCTTTTTCCAGGCTGGCCTCAAACTCGCTACATAGTCAAGAATGATCTAGAGTTTCTAATGCTCCTTCCGCCACCCCCTTAACGCTGGGCTTACAGGTGTGTACGGCACTTATCCGGGGAGCTGGGGACTAAATCTGGGGCTTCGTGTACGCCCGGCAAGCACCTGGCCGGCTGAGCTGTGTCCCCAGCCCTGTCATTTCCTCACCCAACCGTAAGGCCATTATCACACCTGACCACATGAATAACCGTCCTCTAACATCTTAATGCCTGGCTCCCAAGAAAGTTTTAAAAATCATAAGGCTTGAAATTTCCATTGCATCTCTAGAGAAAGCCTATGCCACAGCCAGTCTTAATAGATTCATTATCAGGAACATTTTTTCACACGCTCAGCTTAAGTTTCTTTATCCTATTACTACACATTGTGCCCTTGTGTATTGTTTTCAATGAAACCCTTTTTAGTGTTTACACACTTCAGATACTTGTATAAATTTAGCCTCCCCTCTCATCTTTGCTTAGCTGAGCTGCACATGTTTGAATCTGCTGGTCTGTGCTAATAAATCCACCCATCAGCTCCTCGTCGTCATGTTGCCGCTTGGCTTTGAACTTTGCCCAGCTGGTTTTTATAAAACCCATACGAACAGCCCCAGACCAGATGTAGTCTGAGAGGAGTCTCACCCAAATTAAACCACTGCTGGTTCTACCCCGTGCTCAGGCTCAAACCAGACGCATCCTATTTTCCGCCGTGCTAGAACGGAAACAAATGTCTTGTTCTCTGCTTTTAGTCCCAGTTTTTTTTTAATTAAAATTGCTTTCTTTTTTCTTTTCTTTCTTCTTTTTTTGTTTTGTATTACAACATGTGTTTCGCCCCTCCCACTAAACATCTGTGCCTTGATGCACTTCTCTCCGGATGTGATGGGAACGGTCCTGCGAGTACAGAGGCCCTAACCCTTCCACACTGCTGGGGCACCTCTAGGTGAGTCGCCACGCCCTCAGTGCCGCTCCAAGCTCTTCACCTAATAAAGACGGGTCCTACTGACGCCACAAGATTAGCTGGAAGGGACTAATGCAATAATGTAAGTGAAGGGGTTTTAAGGTAATTTAGCCCTTCTTATTGTATGGGCGCATTCCCGGGTCCCCATCGAATGCCTCAATCTGCAGAAGGTACAACACTCGCGTCCGCCATCTTCTCCTCTATAGGTATCTGTGTTATAAACGAGGCAGTAAGGGATAGCAACCAAACACTAAACGGAACAGTGATGAAAAACACTCTAATGAATGCTATGTAGAAGTTGTATAAAAGATTCATTGCTGGGAATCCTGTTTTATGTAACTACAGATGATGAAGCTGGAATGTGAAGCCACAAGGAGAGGCTGCTGCCCTGACGTTAATGCTGTATACGCATAGACGAATCTGGCTTGAGACCGCTTGGTACCAGTGTTACGGAAAACAGCATGGTTCAAAGACATGGGATGGGCTTCCAAGCAAAGAGTAAATGGATTAAATTAATGTGCATACAGTTTAGGGCACTTAGCATACCCACTGTGCAGATGCGGGCATCCCTACTCCTTAACGTTATTTCTGCTTGCATCTGTAGCTTATCTCACCATTTAATAATCTCTGCTGCCAGGGAATTGTAGTTCACATCTTGTCACCCAAACGAGAGACAGCATCTCTTAAATGCAATGATTAAGACCCATAGACCAGTAGAATGTCACATTCATCCTCTGCTATATATAGTGAGCCTTGAATAGCCGCATATACCACACACACTAAGCCTAACCCCAACCTAACCTAACCCAGTCCTAACCCAGTCCTACTGGATATTCGGCTATTCACCGCTTCCTGGGCTCTAAGAATCATGCTAAACGCCTTATCTGAATCATCTGATTTGGGGCTCAGGAATTTGTGAAGGAGAGTGTTAACACCCCCACTTCACATGAGAGGAAACTGGGGCTTACTTAGGAAAGTAAATTAACTTGTCAAAGGTTAATAGCTGATGGTAGCAGCAGGGCTGAAAAAAAAAATGTGTCCTCCAGGGCCCATGCATTCAACTGTTAGCAAGACTTGGCGTTTCAAATCACAGGTAGGAAGTCCTAAATACAGACCAATGTCAACAGGTCCTACTACATCCATACCCTCTGGAAAGCCCTCCCAAGAGGCTCGTCACCTGGTAAAAGAGGAGTGTGCATGGTGGATGTCCCCGCCACAGGCAACTGTCGTCAGCTCCTCAGTGCCTAAGAAAATGCCACTCATACAAAATTTCAGCTTCATTTCCTTCAAGAAAAACGATTGCTAATCATTTTGTCCTTCACTTCCATAACCTCAATTATCTAGCAGATAACTAAGGACCGTCAATTTCCTTTTTGCTGTTCATTCAAATGTCCATCACCTAACGGTACTCCAGTTTGTAGTTTATGACCTCAGTCTGCCGTGACTGCTCCACACTCATTTCTAGCTCCGTGTCTGCCTCCTGCTTCTACCTGTTTAGCTGTGCGAGTGTGATCTCCTTAAGCAAAACTACCGTATGAGCCAGTCTGACCCCCTGAAGCATCATCGAATCCTGATGAAACTTAAAGGCTTCAGATGACATCATCCCAAATGACTCAGACCCCTTTCTCCATTCACACCAGACTCTTACTGGCTGACGGGCCATGCCATGTCCTCTGCCATCTTTGCTGGGCTGGCCTCCCTCCCTCGGCTGCTGTCAGTTCTTGGCTCTCTGGATATACGGCTCAAGGACGACTCAGAGCCTGTCTGTTCCAGCTGCATCGTGAGCACTCTCCTCTCCTTCTAGCAGGGGTGTAGCAGATGTTTTCAGGGACGAATTATTGTTCCATTGAACCCTTCTTGACAAACACACTCACTGATGACAGCACACAGCCCTAACTGCTACTCATCTCGGTGTGTGTATGTGTCTTGAAGTCCCATCTTTTGTATACCGTACCTTACCTCCTCAGAGGGAAGTCACTCTGTGAGTATTTTGACAACTGATGTATTCAAATTACACAGAATACAATGAAGCAGTCATCACCTTTCAATCATATTGCCAGCTCCTCGAAGCCAGCGAGCATTAGTGACTTGATACCTGGCCTCTGAGTGCTGTCCTGGCTAATGCAGTAATTTGGAGTTAGAAAGCCACTTCTCTGGGCTGTCTTCGAGTATCACAGAGGCATGAGAAGGTGGGATCCAATACAGGAAAGCATCCAATACAGGAAAACTTATGCTTTCTTTAGACTAATGCTTGACAGATTATGACTCAGTGTGTGTGTGTGTGTGTGTGTGTGTGGTGTGTGTGACTGTGTGTGTGTGACTGTGTGTGTGTGGTGTGTGTAAGTGACTGTGTGTGTGTGTGTGTGTAACTGTGTGTGGGTCTCAGCTCAACCTTCGTTCCCTTTCCTTGGGAAGCCGTCCACTTTGTTTTCTGAAACAGTCTTTCACTGACTGGTCTTGGCTGCCCAGCCTGGGAGCACCAGGGGTCTCTTGTCTCTGCCTCTCCAGTGCTGGGATTACCAGCACATGCCATCACACCTGGTTTTCCAAGAGGATATGGAGTCACACTCAGACCCTCACGCTGGCACAATAAGTGTCTACTGGCTGACTGCCCTCCCTTGACAGATGGTTTTCTTTTTTCTTTTCTTTTCTTTTTTGTTTGTTTGTTTGCTTTTTTTGAGACAGGGTTTCTCTGTATTGCTTTGGAACCTGTCCTGGAACTCGCTCTGTAGGCCAGGCTGGACTCGAACTCACAGAGATCAGCCTCCCTCTGCCTCCCGACTGCTGGGATTAAAGGCGTGCCCGCCCAACAGATGGCTTTCTAAGGGACTGAAATTAACTACAACATTCGTGTCACAAATCAGTTTCTTAAACACTTTTAGGATACGGTGGGTTCTATTTTTCACAAAAATAGAACAAACAATCTCAAAATGCTGGAGGAGGGGGCATAATTTAAGTATACAGGAAGCCTCAAGAGAGTACTGAATTCTACTCTGATCATAACAAGACACTGCCCAATGCTTTGGGACATTGGGGAGCAAAGGACACAAAGTAAATTGAATACAAAGGGGTGGGTGAGAAGTTCCTCTAAGGGACAGGGAACAAACATGCTTTGGGCAGACTAGAGATCAGGCAGGCATCCCTGAGCGGATGTACAGTCATGACTCTCCAGCAGAACTAACAGTGGGTACGGTGGATGGAAGGACAGACAGATGGTAGGTGGTCAGATACAGAGAAGACAGACAGAAATACAGACAGCGACCTCCTTGCTTCTGGTCTTTGAGTGGGAATATTTGCTTGCTTTTCTGCTTCAATAAGTAGGTCACTGGCTACAAGGTTTTCACACGTGTCAGCTGTCAGGCTGTAAAGACTGCGTGTTGTTAACTCTTGGCGTTTTTGTAGTCTCTCCACGGTTATGATTCCATCTAAAACCATTCCCATTGTGACGTTTCTTTCACCCACTAAGTTGTCTTGAAGTTTGTCATTTAATTTCTAAATATTAGAGGGATTGTCTGATTGGTCGCTTTATTTTATTGTGTGGGCAGTAAACACATGACTATAAAATGCACAGCTTCCCTCTTTAAAGAACCCAACACAAAGGCTATGACCGCAGGAGGCAGTCAGAAACCTGTAACACCACACCACACCCGAAGAGCAGCTCTTAGAAGGAAGGTCTGTCTGTTTACGGTTGCAAAGCGATCAGACAGACATGGGGGCCGAGGTCACAGACAGACAGACAGACATGGAGGCTGAAGTCACAGACAGACAGATATGGAGGCTGAGGTCACAGACAGACAGACAGACAGACAGACATGAAGCTAAGGTCACAGACAGACAGACATGGGGGCTGAGGTCACAGACAGACAGACAGACAGGGGGCCGAGGTCACAGACAGACAGACATGGAGGCTGAGGTCACAGACAGACAGACAGGGGGCCGAGGTCACAGACAGACAGACAGACATGGGGGCTGAGGTCACAGACAGACGAGGAGGCCGAGAGTTCACATTAATTGTGAGCACAAAGCAGAGTGAGGACAAGTTATGGGACACTTTTCCTCTCAAGGGTGACCTTTCTTCCTCAAGCAAGTCTGTCCCCTGCTGGGGCCAAGCATTTATTCAAATATCTGAGCCCACAGGGGACCTTCTCATTCAAACCACCAGGACAGCCCAACCCCCAACACAGTTAGTTAGAGGGGACAGCCTCTGGGAACCCGCTAAGCTAGAGGAAGCCATGAGTTAGACGCCATGATAAGATTAGTGCCCTGGGGACGAGGGACTGTCCTCTTCATCCTGAGGGGACTTGGTGAGCCAGAAGAGGCTTGCTCAGGAACAAGATCATGGTAGCACCTGATCCCAAAGTAAGGAGCTGCTGACTGAGCCATCCCACAGATACCCACAGAAAAAAGACACAGACACAGACACACACACATACACACAGGCACACAGGGAGACACACAGACACACACACACACACACACACACACACACACACGTAAAACCTTGAGCAGATATGGAAGTGCACAGACTATATGCTTACACTTATATAGAGCACAAAACAGACAAGACAATAAAAATGCCAATGTTAGAGGTGTTACTCTTGGTGGTGGGTGGGGTCAGGCAGAGTTAGGAGTGTTCTGTTTCTTGATTTACACACTGGCTACATTATGTGCTCTGCCTCTGAAAACATGTGAAGCTATATGTTTAGGAACAATTTTCTGTATACACATGAAAAGTTTAGGAATACATGTTCGCAGAAATCCCGATGAAGGAATGAGATAGTACAAGGCTTTAGGATCCAGCTCTGTGGTAGGGTGAGGTCCTGTGTGCCACGGAAAAAACAGAGTACAATCGTCACTGAAATGAGTGTTAGTAAATAAAAATAGCACAAGGAAGCACTTGGGGAAAAAAAAAGATTTGAGGAAACTCGGGACTCAGCGGGGAGGGATAAAGGGATGGGAGCCACGAAAGAGGGTTAGCTGCTCAGAGAGGAATTCGAGCATACGGAAAGACTAATTATAACTAGAAGGCTTGTACCACGCAAAGAAATGAAGGGTGAAAATCTCCCAGTATCAATGTAGCAGAACCCGAGTTCCTGAGGACACAAACGCTTGGCTGTGGGGGGGTCTTACGCACAGTCCAGACCGTCTCCTTCGTCAAAGCTGAGAGAGCCCGTCCCTCAGAGATGAAGTGACCTGCCGACCATCAATACCGACTGACGGTGGACACAGGAACACGCCTATTGCATCGTTTCCAAGGAGAAATGAGACAGAAAGCAACCCCATAACAACCTCATGGCTGGCTTCAGCCTTTTAACATCAATCTGAAGTCACGGTATCTGAAGAACTTACTTTACACGCTGCTAAGTGAAGGCACTGCCGATCTGAGTGGTGCCTAATGTGTGCTTAGCATCTGTATTTAACAGAGGACCCAGGCAAGCTGGTACTGCTCACATAACACCTAAAGAGCCAAGCAGTTTAACACAGGCTTTCTATTTAAAAATTGAAGGCTATTGCAATAATTCCAGTGCCCAAAACTTCATAGTGTTATCTTCATCTGTTTAATAAATGCACAGCACTTTGGAATCACATTTTTGCATTGCCCACATCATGATTCAGTGTAAATGACTTTCTTCCTTTGAAACAGAACAGCTCACCATCTAATCGAACCTCCAAATGGTCACTGTAAATTTGATATGGATTTCACACGAGTCAGAGGGGGCATAGACTGTAACGGCTGTTCTTCAATGGGCCATCCCTGATGAGTCAGCAGCCTTGGATTAATTCATGCGTGGAAGAAAGATCCAGGGGAGTGTGTGAGTTTACCCCCGTTCACCAACTGTAATTTTCAGTTTGTAAAGAACAAACTCCTGTTATTTTTGATGTTTGTGGATTTTAAATAATTCTGTGACGATTTTAAACAACCTTCAGGTGAACACAGTATTTCTCAGAAGCCTAAGGGTTAAAGAACCAAAACGAGGTGATTTGGTGTGTTCCACACTGGGGTGGGTATCTTCAGAAAACTCTAACTTGCATTTTGCCTGTGAGTAAAATCATTTTATCAGCCGTGTACCTTGAGGCCTAAGGTCCGTGTCACATACGTTTCCTCGGTTGTTTTGATTAGAATGTAAGAAACGTGAATCCTGAGCTTTTTCAGGGCTGTGTCTTGGTTTCAGCTACCCGTGGAAGTTAAGAATACTTTAAGTGTTCGTGCACTTTAACCGCTCATGTTTACGCACCTGGCGAACGTAGAGGGGGAGGAGGAAGATAGTGAGCCGGCAGAGTGGGCAGCAAAACCCAGCTGAAAAAGCCAGACACACACGGCCGTGGTGATGCCGGCCTGGTGGAGTCTCCTGGGAGATGTGCCCTGGGCACGCATGCCTGGGAGGATGACCTTGACATGGTGACAGAAGCCGGAGACCTATGTCAGCTTAGCAGTGCGCAGGGCCATTCCCCAGGCAGGGGTGCCGGGTTGTGTAAAATGGAAAAAGCCAGTGTGTACTAAGAGTTGTTGCTGGAGAGTCCTGACCATGGATGTGCCCTGGCCAGCTCCAGTCCCCGGCTCTGACCCCCTGTACCCTTGTACTGGAGCCAAAATAAGCACTTCCCCCATCGGTCGCCTTTGTCAGGGCATTTAATCACCGGACCTGGAAAAGAAATTAAGACAGGGCAGAAAAAACACTTCTGTTAAGCTCTTTCTGCAAATAACTCGTGCAACGCATAAAGAAAGCATCAAGACATTTATTTATACGAATGAACAGAGTATAAAGACAAATCACACAAAAGCAGACAAACTTCAGCAACAATGTATAAAATCCCAAACAAACGGTGAGGCTACAAATGCTGCAAGCCTGGGAACCACAAAACTGGTCCAGGGCAGCCACGCCTTAGGCTTGCGTCCTAGAGAACTGAACAGCTCTTAGATGCGCCCAACGGGGGGAGTATTTTAGATGGATGGAGCGGAGAGCCACGTGACTGAGATGGTCGTGAAGACTGAACACACTCAGACAAAAATCACACGAGAAGTCAATCACTGCATAGGCGCCTGGGTTATGTAAGTTAAAAGGGAAACACAATATGAAAATAAAGTCCACAATGGCTGCATTAGGGTGGGAGACACTGCAGTTTTCCTCAGCATTTTCAAACAAAAGGAAAAGACTGGCTACCATTTCTAGAACTTATTTGCTAAGGTCTACTCTTTCCTACGAGAAGAGGTTGTGTGTAAAGTTTAGATGGAAAGAGACAAGAATCGCTCAGTTGGGCGGTCTGTTCAGACTCCGGCTGTTCAGGAAGACACTATACGCGGCCTGTGCCGTCCTACCGGGCAGCGGGATCTACCTCCACCTTTGCGTACATAAATCGAGGGCCACTACAAGTGGAACTCACAGACATCCACCTGCCTCTGCCTCTCAAGTGCCTGGATCAAAGCTTGCCCTGTGACACCTGGCTCAAAATTACAAAACTTCTAATTTACAAATTTACCATGATGTCAGTACTATTTTTGTTTATTTTAAATTAAAAATCTCTGTCATTTTTTAATGTGTGTGTGTGTTGCACACACTGCAGAGCAGATGTGGACAGCTTGCTGGAGCCATTCTCTCCTGCTTCACAAAGGTTGCCCAGGGATCCAAACTCAATTTTATCAGACGTGGGGAGAGGGGCAAATATCTTTCTTACCTCTGAGCCGTCTTACCTGCCCAGAATTAGTTTTAACGTTTCTATTATAAATTTGCCAATATGCTGGGGACGCTGTGTTGAAGCATGTGACTTTTATATTAAGTTTATATTACAGTAACCAGGATAAGACCATTCATTGGTCTGTTCATTTATTTATTTATTTTTTGTTGGAGGCAACAACCTTTAAAAAGAATGGCAATCCAAAAAGTATAAAAAATTTGTATTTTATGAAATGTTTAATAACTCTTCCTTTGAAAGGATACTCTAGGAAATGAAGACCTTAATGTTGTCACATCCGCACAGTCTATTACACCCCTGCATGACACAGCGGCGCATGTCTATAGTCACTGCACTTGGGAGCAGAAACAGGAGGAGCCCTGGCTGCAGAGTGAGTGAGTCATCCTGGGTTAATTTATATACCGTCTAAAGTAAGGATTCTATCTGGGGGGGGGGCATGTGTGCTCATGGGTGCCCACTAGGACAGAAGTGGGCGTTGAGTCTCTTTGGGCTTGAGGAGCAGGAGCCACCTGACATGGGTGCCTGGACCTAAACTCTGGGGTGTGCGGGAAAGGCCATGAGGCCTCTCAGCCTCGGAGCCACTTCTCCAGCTCCACCAGATCTGCTGTTTTTAGAAGTGATCACATTCCCGAGATCATATTAAAAGGGGCGAGAACTTCCTGAAGCCCCACAAAACAAGCATCTGAGAGTTGTAGGGGAGCTGATGATGCTGGGCTGCTCTCTCCATGCCACAATATCACCCAAAGGAGTAAATAACCACAGATGTCACGGGGACGACTGTTCCACAGACAGACACACGTGCATGCACGTGCACACACACACAAATGAGCAGGCAGGCAAGAACTTTAATCCAAGATACATTCTTTAGTGTATAACCTAAAAATCACAGTTTTAGTCATTTGATACGGTGTGGTTGACCACAGAAACAGCTGCCACAATACACAGCTACAGGAGCTGAGCTCTGCACAGGAGATGAGGTTCAGCACGTGTGGACCTATTGCGTTCTGCTGGGACAGAACAGAAGTTTGTGCATTTGCAAATGTTTATTAGGAAACCATACTCATTTTCAAGATCTAAAAAACAGCCACAGATGAGGGCAGTCCGTCAGTTCCGTGCTTCCCAACAGCCATGAGCTCCGCAAACACACGGAGCAATTCAATACTGAACACTTCAGGTACACCCAAGGAATTTCAGAACAATGGAAGCCCTTGGCAGTTTAAACAAAGCAAACGTGACACTCGGTATGTCTGTGAGACTTAACAGGACTACCTGTCTTCTGTAATTAGAAAATTGTTTACTTTTTCATACGAAAAAGACTAAGGAAAGATCAAATTCAGAAAGCTGATTCATCTGAATCCAATCACAGTCATCGTTCAGCAACACTAAGGCACCCTGCAAAGGGCTGGCCATCCCTGGGTCAGGGCACACACACCAACAGGAAGCAATCCTCCCAGGCCGGCCTCAGAGTGTCTTAATTTGATCCTCTTCTCTCTTTGTCTCCCTTAGAGTTATGCATTCATAGCTTAAAGCCTGGTCACTGCATTTCTCAGATTTTGGTTTTTTAGATGCCGATTCGTCTGGCAAAAGAGATGTGCAGTGTTCGAGGGACTGTGCGATGTCATCAATGGTCCACCTGTCTTCGGGGAGGGCGTGCTCTTCAAGCGTGAACGGCCCCTGCTTGGTGCGGGTCAGCTCCAGCACGTGGGCACAGGAGGAGAGTTCTACAGAACCCGAAAGCGAAAAGGGAGGATGAGCCGAGCAGTATTCACAGTCCGCAAGCTTACAAACGACACAACTCTACTCCGACGTCTCAGGGTAACACAAGAGTCCATGGTCTGAGGTAAACCAGTGCCTAAGCAGGGAAAACTCAGCGGTTTAAACCTGCTTTTCAAAACAACAACGTGGTACTTGAAGCAACCCGGTGAGGTAAATATTGCTCTTATTCTGCAAATAGGATAATGCAGCCTGTCCACTTCCATGTGACCAGGGAGCAGGAGAGGCAGAACCGGAACTTTCTGTGTGCTTCTAATACTGTGGCTCCCAGGTTTTTTTAGTTTTTAAACCATTGATTTGTATCCATGTAAATAATTTTTGGAAGGATAAATCTTTCTGTTCCTGATCCCAGCTTTGATTTAAAATGCTTTTTACTTGGAAAAAAAATGTTGGCTTTTTCATCCATTATCACTGTGTTCCTTCTCTGCTCCTCTGTCTGTTTCACGCCCACCCCCATTACCAGCACGCAGCTGCTGGGGCTTGTAAGTGCATGCTATAAACCCACAATGCATCTGAGTTAAAAGCAGCAACAGTTCAATTCCTCAGCCAGTACTCAGAAGAACGAAAAACAGAAAATTCCTCTCCCTTCAGAAAGGAGCATTACTCCCTAAATGATAATTCATAATTCATTTTTCTGCTTACCTTTGCCAATGTCATTGACCAAGCTTCTGATGTAGAAGCCGCCTCCGCATTCAACATCTGGAATGTTAGCACGGACACGGTAAAAGGCTGACCTCCTGAGAGATCCACTTTACATAAAAATGATGGTCTTCAACACATGTAAAAACGCACTATGCAAACAATCGAGCCATAAAATATTTATGGGCTAAGCCATAAATTATTCATCCAGCGGCATATGTGTTTGCGAGATTGAAAAGTCAGGGTGTGGAGCAGGCAGGAAGTCATGAACACATTTTAAATTAACTGGCAAGCCGTACCACGTTAATACCTCGGCCTCGCTCACCTAATAGGTTTTAAATAGAAATCCCAGCTTTGCTATCATGAGCTACGGATGCTAAAAAATATTTCCAGACCTGTAGACTCTGTTCATTTATTTATTATGTTCGAAACAGTCAGAAATCCCAGCTTTGCTATCATGAGCGGTGGGTTTCTTAAGTACTTTCAGATTTCATGACATGAAAAAATTTAGCCAAACACCAACCAAAAAACTCCCTTTGGCAATGAAAAGAACTGTGCTTGGGGTGCTGGGAACCATAAAACAACCTAGTCACACAGTGTTGTAAACCTACTGGCAGCACATGCTGGGTGGAAAGCAGGGCCTGAGGTGACTTTGGGTGGAGCAGCCACACACTCCACGCTCGGCATCCATCAAATAAAGAGATTTGGAAGGACCAATCAAAACTCGCCACCTGGGGACTTCAGTTCTCTATGGCTCACAACTGGGGGCTACCGAGACCAGAAGGGGGTAAGCGCAGGGACCAACCTGGGTTGTGCCAGCATTTGAGTGACACTAGACTTCAGAAGACAGCTGCTCACACTCGCCCTTCCACACTGTCTCGCCAACACCATGAGGCACTCCTGACTTACAAGCAGACAGGAACCCTGATCGTTCAAGGTCTATCTGCTCTCCCAGACAGGAAGGAGGCTGCCCTTTCTCATGGAGTGAACGAAAAGGATCACTTTGTGGGGGTTTTTCCCTCCTTCATTATTTGTCAAGTCATTTAGAAGCAGGAAGCATAGCAAAAGCCTTGTTTTCTTAACTGACCCACCGTCTGCAGGGACTCGCTGTGTATGGAGTAAGAACACCAAGGAGAAGCAGTGAGGGGTTTCTGTTCGTAATCACTGTGAAATGAAGGGCTGGACTGATTTCAAAGAACCCCAGGACTAACAACTCCATTTTTAAAACTATGTATATAATTTTTGAACCATATAAACAAGGGATTTTTTTTTTTGGTTTTTAAATTTACTTCGAATATGGATCACATGTTCCAATTGACAGCCTGATCTAAAAGTGTGACCAGGAGCCCAGCAACGCATCTGTGTCCTCCATTCCACCCTCGTTCGCATCACTAGTGCTAACCTGCAGATCACAGAGAGAGGAAGGGGCAGAGGCCAGGCCATATGCACAGCCTCAGCACAAAACTAACTAAATGCGCTGCTTCACAGGGGCGGAACAACACTTACTGTAGGGTGAAATCATTAAGTATGAATCCAAATGGAAGGAAAAGTATCTATAAGATAAAAACTAAAAAAACCTATTTCATATTTATTTTTCATTGTTCCATGTATGGGGAATTTATCTGCACACACGTCTGAGTACCACGTGTGCATCCAGTGCCCGGGGGGGTGTGAGGAGGGAGTTGGGGCCTCTGAGACTGGAGTGACAGACAGTTGTGAGCTGCTGTGCTGGTGCTGGGACTCAAGCCCGGGCCCCCTGGAACAGCAGCCAGTGCTCCTCACCCCTGAGCCCTCTCTCCAGCCCCCCACTCTCAAATCTTGAAAATACACATGCCCTACGTAGTTCTCTGAAGAGATCCAATGTATTCTACTCCCAACTTTGTAGTGAGATGATCAAAAACACCCAAACGTCAGCCTAGTTAGGTATTTCTGGACCTTTATGGGGTTAGTTACATTTTTCTCATGAAATCAAACCATACCTTTTCTTACCTTCAAAAAAAATTCAAGACCAAAAGGATCCGTTAGGACTATATAAAAATTAGCCAAACACAAAATAAAGACGCGAGCAGAGAGGAGTGTTCCAAGCCTGTCCATCTTACCCAGCGTGAAGAGCGGTGGCTGGAATCTCAGGAGGGAGATGCCGTACACAGTCACTAGCCTGGCGGGTCTGGCCTCCACAGCTTCACCTCTCTTCATTAGCGTTGACAGCCTCTGCCCATCCTTCTTCAATGCAGAATAGCTTTGTGACGAGAGACAGCAGGAGGGGGGGAGAGAGAGAGAGAGAGAGAGAGAGAGAGAGAGAGAGAGAGAGAGAGAGAGAGAGAGAGAGAGAGAGAGAGAGAGAGAGAGAGAGTAATTCCCAGCTCGGGATGAAGTCCCTACGTGTCTCTGAGACAGGCATAAACAGCGAGTGGCATCCATTGTCTTCTTTAGCCTTCCTGGAGGTGACCTTGCCAGTGCCCTTCACTAGCCCCCAACTCAGAAGCAGCTTCTCCCCGAGAACAATCCCAAGATGTCACAAACCCACAGATAACCGCAGAAAAAGCTGCAGCAGTTCACATACAATAAATGTATATTTAACTTAGTCTCACAAATGATTTGCTAAAGTTTTCCAAGGTTTTTTTTTTTTTTTTTTGGTTTTTTGAGACAGGGTTTCTCCATATTGTTTTGGAGGCTGTCCTGGAACTCGCTCTGTAGACCAGGCTGGCCTCGAACTCACAGCGATCTACCTGCCTCTGCCTCCCAAGTGCTGGGATTACAGGCGTGCGCCACCAACGCCCGGTAGTTTTCCAAGTTTTATGTTTGAGAAAAAGCAGTCCACTGTTCTCAGGGAAAACAAAAACAAGATTTCTAAATACAAATCTACATTCTAAAAGAACCATCAGTAACATATCCTGGTGTTTCCCAGTAACGGGCACACACACGGAGATGGTAAGTGGCACTGTGGCCTGAGTGCCTGCCCTCCCAGTCACTGCTCACATCCTAAGAACCAAGGTGACGGCCTTAGGAGGAGAGGCCTTTTGGAGGGTGACCAGGTCACAAACCAGAGCTCTCAAGGAAGAAGGTGTTGCCGCAGACCGATGCCTTCAACCCTCGGCCACACGAGGGCAGCATCTATGAGAAGGCAGGCTCTCGCCAGCAAAGCAACCCACCAGTGCCTGCCCTGGCCTGGACACAGCCTCTAGGACCTTGAGTTTGTGGTATTTTCTTACAGACGCCCTATTGCGCCAAGATGGGTGGTAAAGCAACTCATGCTTACGTTTATTACAAAGTTATAACTTTTATCTGGTTGATCCAATGCTGTCAGGATTCTGGGGTAGACAGGAAGCACACGTTAGGACTCTTAATTCACAGCACAGTCCTTTCGCTGTCACTTTGGAGAAGGTGACATCTCTGGATCTGTCACTGCCCTGGTATCTACAGACAGAACTTGAAGAGTCGGGAGAACGAACACCAGGCTAAGCTGACGTCCACACAGACTGGAATGCACTTTGGGGTCAAAGCTTTGCCTCCAGGATGAATCTTCTCACCGCTTTTTGGTAATTTACAATGCCCAGATGAAAACAGAGCAAAAGAAAAGCCCACTTTGTTCTAATTATTGATGTTGGCCTATAGATGATAAAATTAGAGATAGATTCAATAACTGAACTTACAGTGGGGGTACTTGCATTATATTCCCAGTAAACTTCTGCAGAATGCCTTCAATATCTTCTTGCGTTATTTTATCTGCCAAAAATGAACCAAGTAAAGATGACATAGCCATACAGGCAACAGTCCCAACAACTCTGAAAAGTCATTATTATTATTTCTCAATAAGATACAAATTACAGGGGTTGCAGCGATGGCTCGGCGGTTAGTTCAATTCCTGGCATCCACATGGCGGTTCACGTCTGTAGGATTCTAATCCCAGGGGATCTGATGCCCTTGTCTGACCTCAGAGGGCACTAGGTACACAGTGTACAGACATATGTAGGCAAACACCTATACAAATGACTACAAAGTAAAACCTCATAAATTGCAGGGTATGTCTCGTGGACCAAATGCCACCTTGTTGTAAAGAATAAAATGCATTATTAATGAGATGAAAAGGGAAGAAAATTGTATGCTATTCTCTATAAAAACTTAGTTTCCCTTAGTTCAAGTCCCATCCTACACCAGTTATTCCCCCGTTATTATTAAAACTGACGCATCACATGAGTATGGGGAGATTCTGGTGGCGCCTAGAAAGTCCGAGAGAGGTATGAAGTTTGCTGGAGACATGGTCCCACGGCAATCAATCAATACAGGGTGACTGAAGGGCAGACAGCGGGAGGCCCCGTGTCTGAGTGCACTGTACAGCACGGAGGACAGCGGCACCTCAGGTCTCACTTGGTAGACTTTAACTATGCTATGCTAGGAAACGAATTTCATATGCACACATTCAACTCCGTCTCCAAGCAGAGCTATTGATCTGTCTCCCCGGTCCTTCCCTGCCTGGAACTTCTCCCTACTTCTAAATGATCACTCCCAGTCAGCTCAAACACAAACCAGAACAGAAGAGGAACGCACACAGCAAGGACTTTGGCGTGCTTACTAAGCATTTTTAGAAGGCAGTTTTTAGAAAATTGGTAGAGATAAACATGTAACGCTTTTCACGTGTCAGCCATCTTTTCAGGCTCTTTTTGGCGCATTCAACAGAAGGATGCGGTCAGTAGTCTACCAGCTCAAGTTCAGTTTTTGGGTCTTCATACTTGCAGATGACCAAGGACAAATATTCTATAACTCATTTAGATTACTTCCAGTGCTTTTATTATTTTATAGAAAATTCATTAAACTTTTTTTTGTAAATGGACATTTGATTTTGTTTCAAAAGATTAGACAAAAAATTGTTCCAGTACCATGATAAAGCTTGGAGGGCACCGGAGCGTCTGCGTACAATCAGCAAGACAGTTGCAGCCTCACTATGACCTTGTAAGCTAAACAGAAACAAAGCTGGGATCTGAGAGCCTCGGCCAGTGAAGAGCTGCAATGTCAGAAGACTTCCTGCCGCAGCCTCCAACACCCCAGACCTCAGACGACAGCCAGCGCCGCTGCCCAGAGATGTGACTCAAAGCTGGGTGAGGACTTTCCCATGGAAAAGCTTAACTGTGCTGTCACAGTGAGAAGTAATTACAGTTGGCACCTGAGCGATGTCATTCTGAGCTTGCCAACTCCAGCTGGCCCATGCTACCACCAGGCTGGACTTGCTGAAGGAAACTCCAGAGTTGGTGAAGCTGCTACAGTGCGTCGTCAGCTTAGCTAGGCAGCTCAAAACAAGACAGCTAGCTGTCCATTCCTGCCAGGCCCAGCTCTTCCCTGACACCCCTGTCCCATGAACACGCTCACCATTGTCCTGATTCAGTATCTTTCTCTCACGGACGTACATGTTCACACACACGCATGCATGCACACATACACACACATACACACACGCATGCACGTACATGGATGTACACCACACACACAGATGGACATCACACACACAGATATACAGCATACATACAGATATGCACACATACACATACACACACACAGATGTACAGCACACACACAGATGTACACACACGTGCACACACACAGATGTACAGCACATACACAGATGTACACACACGTGCACACACACAGATGTACACCACACACACAGATGTACACACACGTGCATACATACACAGATGTACACACACGTGCACACACGCAGATGTACAGCACCCACAGATGTACACACATGTGCACACACATGTGCACGCACACACGCGCACACACACACCTGACACATGTTCCTTCTCTCATTTTACTTCTGTTGCTCCATCTCCCGTTGAGCCTCGAGCGCAGGCCTCTGTGGCGTGTGTACTGTTCATCCTGGCTGTTTTCAACAGCGTGCTGAGCTATTAGCTCGCCAACAAAACCCTCAGCTTAAAGACAAAGCCAGTGTATCTCTGAGGTGACAGACACTGGTAAGATGGCACTCAAGACGTTCCTGCTGAACTTTAATTTGCTCGGGGTAATAGAATCTGTAGGTTGAAGGGCATTTAAAAGTCACCCGGGCAATCATTTATCCACTGTTAGGACGACCAGGCAAGAGAGCCTACAGGGAAGGTTACTTCATGACAGAGGCCGCTCGGGTGTACAGCGGGACACTGGCTATAGCTGTCCCATGATTTAACAGTCCTGCCACCACTAGATCTTAAAGACGCAGATGAAGTTCTCGACACAGGGATACCCAGGGATGGACCCAAAGAAGAGAGAGGGGTATAGCACAAGCGCCTGGATACTTCATCCTCTGTTCAGCAGAATAATGAGCCATCAGCGTGGAAGCCTCCATTTGAACTGCACTTTAAAAAGCCATTCTCTAGGCCGGGGTTGCAGCTCGGTGGTGAAGCAGCTGCCTAACACGGAAAAGGGTACCTCTTACACAGCCGCCGTCCCCATAAAGTGACCACACAGGCGACCAGGCTGTGCAGTCGCTACTCACTCACAATGCATCGAGCCCTCCGCGCACAGCACGGTGCCTGCTACCCACCTGAACTGCAGAGCCAACAGCAGAATGACAGAGTTGAGCACAACGCTCCACCACAGTGAGCCACTGCTGGACACCGCACTACCACAACCACTGCGAACCAGCCCGGTCCTCACTCAACCACTGCTTCTGGCTACCACACAGCAGGGAGCAAGCACTGCAGTCTGAGGGGAGGAGAAAAGGACAGACACCACAAAACGTGCTTCTGCCTGTAAAAGACTCGTAATGTGAGGCCTTCCTTCCTTATAAAAGACCATCCCAGAGATGTTACCAGGAAATACTACCAAACATCAGAAAAGGAAGTAATTTCAACTGAACATAAATTCTTCCAGAAAATATACAAGATAAACAGGGTGCTGGACACAGCTCAGGGGTAGGGACACTGTGAAGCCCTGGGCTCTTTCTCCAGCACCACAAAGATAAAACCAGATTTACAAACAGTAACATCTTTCTCACATCGACCTAACTCCTAGGCCCAGTCAGAACCCTGAAAAGGTAAAGTCGGGAACAAGGGGGGAAAAACAAATACAAGGTAATCCCACAGACGTAAAAACTCTAACTAAGCATTCACCTATCAAGTCCACCATGCATATATATATAATAAGTACATGCTGACAAGGTTAAATCAACTCCAGAAATGTACAGTTAGTTTAACATTTGAATATGGAGAAAACAAAATTTAAAAAAAAAATCAAAAAGCTTTGCCAATGCTGTCTTGTGAACATGACACGGCTGGTCCACTCATAAACCCAGGGTGGCCGTGGTTACCAACACAAGGCAGACAGCCCGCAACCCCCCCAAAATTCACTTCTGTTCATGATTTAAAAGCAAACCAAATCTCAGCATAGTAGGTAAGAAAAAATGGGATGAATTCCTTTGATAAAATAGCTATTTTTAAAGGTGGGGGTCTGCAGTAAACAAGGCAGGAAGATATATTTTTCCTCTAAGAGAACAGGTCCTTTGGTGTTGAGACGAGGATGGACCAACTTACTGAGCTGGCCATGCAGATTCCAGACGGGCCCACGCCTGCTAAGGCGCTTGGTTTGTGACTTGCAGAGTAATGGAGAAAGGACAAGGCCAATTGGATATCCACAAAGGGGAAAGTGATGGATTGGACATGTACTGTCAGAGGCAAAGCAACAAAGGAGTCTAGAACACAGAAAAATATCTCCTACTTAAAAAAATTGTGTGTTACCTATGGACACCTGATTTTCAACAAAGAAGTAAACAATTATACAATGGAAAAAAAAGAAAGCATCTTCAACAAATGGTGCTGGCATAACTGGGTGTTGGGTAAGTAGAAGAATGCAAATTGATCCATATTTACCACTCTGCACAAAACTCAAATCCAAGTGGATGGGAGACCTCAACATAAATCCACAAACACTGAGCCTGGCAGAAGAGAAAGTGGGAAATATTCTCAAACACACTGGCACAGGAGACAACTCCTGAACCGAACACCAAAAGCACAGGCACTGAGATCGACAGACAATAAACTGGGCCTCCTGAAACTGAGAAGCTTCTGTAAGGCAAAGGACACAGTCAGCAGGACAAAACGGCAGCCCACAGGATGGGAAAAGAGCTTCACCAACCCCACAGTGGACAGAGGGCTGATTTCCAAAATATAAAAAGAACCCAAGAAACTGATATCAACAAACCAAATAATCCAATTAAAAATGGGAAAATGGGATATAGATCTAAATAAAGAATCCTCAACAGAAGAATTTCAAATGGCAGAGAAACACTCAGAAACTCAACATCCTTAGCCATCAGGGAAATGCAACTCAAAACAACTCTGAGATTCTACCATACACCTGCCAGAATGGTCAAGATCAAAAGCACAAGCCACAGCTCATGCTGGAGAGGATATGGAGCAAGGGGACACTCCTCCATTGCTGGTGGGAGTGCAAACTTGTACAGCTGCTTTGGAAGTCAGTGTGGTGGTTTCTCTGAAAACTAGGAATCAGCCTACCACAAGACCCAGCTATACCACTCTTGGAAATATGCCTAAAAGATGCTCAATCATAGCACAAGGGCACTTGCTCAACTGTGTTCATAGCAGATTTATCTGTAAAAACCAGAACCTGGAAACAACCTAGATGCCCCTCAACTGAGGAAGGAATAAAGAAAATGTGGCACATTTACACAATGGAGTTTTACTCAGTTGTTACAAGCAAAAACACCAGGAAATTTGAAGATAAATAGATGAAACAAACAAAAAATCATAAGTGAGGTAACCCAGACTCAGAAAGACAAATGTAGTATGTAGTCACTCATAAGTGGATGTTAGCTGTAAAATAAACGATAACCATGCTATAATCCACAGACCCAGAGAGACTGGATAACAAGGACAGTTCATGGGGGTTGGGAATCCAGATCTCCCTGGGAAGGGGAAACAGGAGAGATTTTGTGAGTGGACTCAGGGTGGGTGGGAATGAGAATTAGAGTGATCAGGGAGATGGAGAGGGAGGATGCTGATGAGGACTGCTGGTTGGCGTTTTGGGGTCAGGTGGGAGTCTGGTTCAGGGAAATCTCCCAGGAGTCTACAGGGAGTACCCCAGTTTAGACTCTTAGCAATTGCAGATAAATAGCCTGAACTGGTCATCCCATGTGACCAGATTGGTGCCTTCCCTAACTGTCATCAGAAAGGTGACATCCAGAAATTGATGGAGGGAGACACAGGCCCACAGCCAAACACTACCAGGTGGAGCTTGGGAATCCTGTTGAGGAGGAGGAAGGAGTATAGGAGCCAGAGGTGTCAAGGACACCACAGGAAAGTTCACACAGTCAACTAACCTGGGCTCACAGGAGCTCCCAGAGACTGAACAGACAAGCAGGGAGTGTGCATGGGACTGACCTAGACACTCTGCATATATGTTACAGTTGTGTAGCTTGGTCTGCTTGTAGGACTCCTAACAGTGGGAGCAAGGGCTGTTTCTGATTCTTTTACAGGCTTTTGGGATCGTTCTCCTCATACTTGCCCAGCTTTACTTAATACATGGGGAGGTGCTTAGTCTTACTGCAACTTGATACGACGTGTTTTATTGATACTCATGGGAGACCCGTCCTTTTCTGGATGGAGATGGAAGAGGAGGGGACTGGAGGGTGGGGGGTGGGAATGCGGGAGAGGGACTGGGAGGGAAGATGGGGATGAATAATAAAAAAAGAAAAGTGTGTGTGTGTGTGTGTGTGTGTATACACATGCAGGCAGAGGTGAGTTTTTGACTCAAACAAATCAGCGAGACGGAGGTGACTCACCGGAGAAAGAAGCAGGCGAGACACCCAAGTGTAAGGTCCACAGAGGATGGCTAAGGCACTGTCCCATACGGCTCCTGCCAAACCCCACCAGTGTCCGAGAACTGTCACCCACTCACTGGCATGCATAAAGTAACACACCCTGCTGGCACGGCATGTTGTTAAGGATATGGACCACGTGGGACTTACTTATTGTGGAGGAAACACAGCAAGCTCAGAAAAACTATTTTACCGTTTCCAATGCAGTTGAATACATGACCAGAGCATAAGAGAAGTGAGCACTAGTACAGCTTTACTTTGTGATGTTCCAAACTAGAAGCAGCCCACATGCCTGTTGACAAAGGAGGCCAAGGTAGAATGCTTTGATATAGAGTGCTTGCCTCCAAGCATTGAGTCCTGGATCCAATACCCCCAAACAGGCTCGCACGTGCAGGCAGGCAGCTCAGAGCACTTGCTGCGGCTGCAGAGGATCCAGGTTTGGCTCCCGACACCCACATGGTAGCTCACAACTGCCTGTGATGCCAGTCCTAGGGGATCCAATGCTCTGTTCTGAATTTCATAGACAACAGGTATACATGCACACGCACACACACATGTGCACATACACGCGTGCGCGCGCACACACACACACATTAACAAACCTCGTATATACACACAGGAGAACCCAAACACAGGAGGACACACACTGTGTAAGGGCATCACTATAATGTGAGAGTCAGAGCCTACTCTGAAAGTCAGAAAGGGGCGGTGGCTCACACGGGGCAAGGCGGGAGAGGCTTGAGAAATCTGTTTCTTCACTAGCTACCTGCTTGTTTGCTCTGTGATAAGGAACTGAACTGTGAATTTATCTGTTGCTCTCTGTATCAAACTTCACAACCAAGCTTAAATACAGACAAATGTCAATATAAGGAGGCTGCTGGAACTTCACTCCAGTTTGTATTTTGCCTAGTTTTATATGTGCTGGGTTACTGACACGACGCCTGTGTGTCACTTTACATGTGTGTCCATTTGGCTGGTGGTGCTTACATGCTACTTCCTGGGGCCCTCAGGGTCCTAGTGTTTGCGTTTGCGCGTCAGTATATCTACCGCAATTAGTCTTACTTCTTCTCTATAGTCCATGTGCTGCATTACGCTGATTCTAGAGGTATACGTATGCAGACGGGTCACTGTGTTTCAGATTTTATTTCAGGATAATAAAAAAAGGCATATAAAATACTGGCCTCATGGGGATGAACACAGAATTCCCCACTAGGCAGTCAGCTCCTCAAGGCAGAAGCCAGAGTTTAAACCCCAATATCATGTCCTTGGGGCCCACTGTGGCTTCAGATAGCAAATATTCCATGATTTACTAAAGGAAAGGAAAAAATCCTGCCCACCTGCAAAGACTGTCTGGAGCCGTCACCCTCCGGGATCTCAAACACTGCTCAGTAAACCGTGCGACAGACGCTTCCGTCTGGGGTTGGATGACAGATCCGCGTCGTCTTTATAAGTCATCACATCGACACACTGTGCTTTCTTTCGCTTTTCAAAAATTCGTGAGTGTGCGAGTGTGTGCATGTATGTGTGAGTGTATGTACGTGTTCCTATGTGAGAGACTGTGCACATGCATGTGTGAGTGTATGTGTATGCCAATGCGTGCCTGTGCCTCTGTGTGTGTGTGGGTGTATGTGTGTGTCCGCCCCATGCATATGTGACATGTGGAGGTCAAAAGACAACTTCAAGTCCACTGCTGCCACCATGCATGTTTGCTGCCGCAGATGCCAAACTAGCTGGCCCATGATATCTGGAGATTCTCCTGTCTCTGCTTCCATCTCCCCCTAGGAGTGCTGGGTTTAGAAACTCCAGCTACAGTCGGTCAGTTGCAGACCTACACAGGTTCTGGGGATGGGAACTCAGGCGTTCACTCCCGAGCAGCTCGCTTCATGCACTAGATCATCTCTCTAAACCCTGAGCTTTCTTTAGTTACAAATGCGATGCAGGAACTTTTAAGATTCTAAAATGCTTAAGGCTAGGAAGAAAGTATTGCCCTCAGTCCTCCACCAATTATCCCCAGTGAACTAACGACAGCATTCTAGCATTCTCTAACCAGTTCTATGAACTCAAATCCTAGGTCACAACTGACAGCCTGCTCCCTATCCCCGGTGAACTCTTTTTTTTTTTTTTGGTTTTTCGAGACAGGGTTTCTCTGTATTGTTGTGGAGGCTGTCGGTCCAGCCTGGCCTCGAACTCACAGAGATCCGCCTGCCTCTGCCTCCCGAGTGCTGGGATTAAAGGTGTGCGCCACCACCGCCCAGCCCCCGGTGAACTCTGAGAGCCCGCCTGACTCTTGTCTTATGTCTCTTACACCTTAAAAACAAGCCCACTGGCTGAAACTACACCCTTATTTAGTTGAAGAACTGGTATTCACCAACTCCAAAAGTAACTTCACAGGTACTTGGACATCTAGGATGTGGAAATACATCAGTGATTTTAATCTTCACCGTTTCACCTGATTAACTAGTGGGATGCTACGTGGCACAGAGAGACGTCAGCAGGGCAAGTGGCGCCCTGACGAATGAGAGAAAGCTGCCCTTGCTGCTGGTGTGAAATGGAATCTGTAGCGAGGGCAACCAGCACGGGAGCTCAGGGGAGCAGACAGCACACTGTCTGCAGTCAAATCAAGAAGAGTTAATGTCAAACATGGGGAAGAACCAGGAAGCCTACAAATAATTCACCGCCGGTGACATAACAATGCAGGTGAGCTCCTGACAATGCCGACAGGGCTGCATTATAAATAGCTCCTGCGCCGTGAGGGTTGCTAGGAGACCAGTTCATTTATCTTCCCTTCCTTAAAGTGGTGAGAAGAATAGCAGACAAATTAAGGTGGGCCCTAGGGAGTTCCCTTCTACTTCAGAGAATTAGCTCTCTCCGGCTGGATCTTTTCACTCCAAGCCACAGTCACTCCAACTCAGGCACATTTATTTCAACAGCTGGGAAGTCGGCTTAAAAAAAAAACTAGAGGCCCGGCACAGGTCGGATCCAACGTGATGATAACTCTGTTTTGTTGTTCCGTCCTGGGGAAGTACACCCTAAGTCCCGGCTATAAGGGCAAATAATTCTGAGCATTACAAACACTCATGGGGAACAGCGCTTACAAAGTCTCTATTAAACTGACAGACAGCAAATGTCTGTGGTGTGAAGAGCAATTTCCGACTTGCTAGAGCTAGAGAAAGGTTCTCTGAGATCTGACAGTACCAAGCAACGCATTTGTTTTTCATTCTGCTGGGACTTTCTTTACTTTTGGGGGCGGGGTCTCACTGTGTAGCCGGGCTGGCCTGGAACTTGCAAACCTCCTGCCTCAGTCTCCCAAGTGCTGGGCTTGCTACTTAAGTTCTGTATTCTGCAATCACACAAACTTCCTTAAACTGCAGAGGAAAAGGGTGTTAGAGGCTCCATACCGTACGGCTTCTCATCGGTTACCTTCCCGGTAGAATCCAGAGTGTCGGTGGCTTTCCCCAATTCTCCAATGGCAATATATCTCTAGGGAAGGAAACGAGAAAAGCAGCCTTGAGTGACTCAGGACTATTAGCCGTGCCTTCTAACACAGAGAACTTTATTCATACTAATGACCCAAAACAAGGTAAAAATCACACACGGACAACGCCTTCTTGGTTTGTGTCTATTGTGTACAAGCAGAGAAACATTCAGACTCCCCACACCAGCCAACAAGACAGAACGAAATCCACTAAAACGGTGTTATTGCTTATAAGTATATTGTTACTGCAAATTTCCAAAACTATTTTTATACTGGGCACACTGATTTTTAAAGAAACTGCAAACATAGTCGGTTGTCTGCATCACGGATTCATTCCACTTCCACACATTCAATCAACCATAGATTAAAAAAAATTCTAAAAATAAAAAGGTTCAGTCTGATTATGTGCAGACTTGTTATTCCCCAAATAATCCAGTGTAACAACTGCTTACACAGCATTTCCTCTGTGCCTCGTGCTACAAGCATAGAGACACTTAGAAGTGTGAGAGGAAGGACCGAGCTGTGTGTACACATCACACCGTGTTCTAGCAGGGGTTGAGGATCCATGGAACCAATGCTCTGCAGAGAGTGGGAACATTATAGGCACACCAGTGGAAAGGACGGCACAATAAAACACAGTGTGGCATCACAAGAATCAATAACTTTACCAGACATACAATTAAAATGATTCCAAGCCAAATGAGCTGGTACTATTCGGGGAAATATGAACTGTTGTGATTTAAAAAGCAGCTCAAGAGAGAAAGACGCCATGCGACAGAGTCCAAGCTGGGGAGTTTTTTTCATCTGGGGGAAAGGATCCTAAAAAGGGAAAAAGGTGGGGGGAGAGACTGGCCTCTGGGGACAGGAGCAGAGAGAGGAAAGAGGTGCAGGGAGAGGAGGGGAGAGGGCAGCACCTTTTAAAAGGGAAAAACCTGAACAGGCACAGGTGGTGTCTGCGAGTTCAAGGCCAGCCAGTACTATGTGGTGAGTCCCAGGTGGGCTATGTTAGTGAGACCCTGTCAAAGTTTTTGTAGAAATGCAAATTTATTAATGACAAACTTGTGCTAGTAAGGGAACTAAAATATGATAATATTAAAAGTTGTAACTTCCACCTTCCTGGCTCACATTTCTTAGCACAAATGCAATACAGGAGTGGATTCCCCAATGCATTCGTGGCTCACATTTCTTAGCACAAATGCAGTGCAGGAGTGGATTCCCCAATGCATTTGAATCATGGTTTTTAAAAGTTTCATGGGACTGGCAAAAATTAGCTCCTTATAACTCCACAGTCAGTCTCATCATTGAGACAGGCACACAGCTTCTCTCTGGTCTCATCACCTGAGAGAACTTCTCTCCTCTAGCTCACAGCAGCCAACCTTGAGTCAGCGTCCCACAGGGAGGGCACGAGAGGATAAGTGACAAGAGCAGAGGCTCAGACTCGAACTGGCAGGGTGGCAATTACAGCTCCAACGCGGACGGCAAAGTGCGGAAGTGCATGCTAATTGCTTCAGGGTCCGTTCATCTTAAAGCAGGGAAAAACAAAAAGTGCCTCATGAGAAAAAGCCAAGAACTTAAAACAATTCCTGTCCCGGGTAAGCGGTGGGTAATGATCACTACCGCATAAAAATAGAGTGATTCAGAGTGACTCACGTGTCACGGTGTGCGTGCATTCTCAAGGGTAGCTTGAAAGCTGACTAGGGAGGGGGCTGGCTCAGTGCCCGCTGCACTGGGAGGACCCGGAACACACATGAAAAGCCAGCAGTGTTGTGTGTTTATACAACCCGTGCTTGGGCGGCAGAGATAAGTGGCCAGCCGGGCTAACGTAATCAGCAAGTCCAGGGTTCTGATAGGAGACCTCGCCTCAAAAACCAAGGTGGACGGCTCCTGAGAAAAGGCACCCAAGGCTGACAGCTGACTTCCACATGCTCACAGGGCAGCGCACACACAGGGTGGGATGGGCAGTAACACAAGTGTCTACACTTAAAGAAGAAAAAAAAAGTGACACATATGTGATTACTGTGCCTTTGAATGTATCTGCAGTGGTCTGTTACATATCATGCTTGAACTGCGAGATTCTAGATGACCTTTACCTCGGAACAAGCCAAGTCTGTGACTAACTTTCCTCTCCTCACTAAGTATCAAACCCTTTCATTTTTCAAAGCCACCCTGTCAATCTCTCCTGCCCCAGGACTTCCAAACTGTCACTTCCAGAAGACGGACAACAGCAGGCAATCAATATAAACTGGATTCACAGAAATAATAGAAGACTGTCTCAAGCCCAGATTCCGCCATGCTTTCTAAGAGCTATGAAGGACAGATCTTACCCTCAGCGTGTGTGAAATTCCCAAACACAAACAGGTCACAGTGACTCTGCACCTCCAGGATGTTACTGTATGAAAGGAGACGACCCTGAAGGCAGCCCAGGGAAAAGGGCCTGGCTGTAACGCTTGACAAAGGTCACTTGGTGGCTCATCCTCCTGGGCTCTCACACGGTGCAGTCTGAGTGGCCAGGCCACAGCCAGAGAAGCAGGCCTGTACCTGCAGAGTTGCGATTGCAGGCTGAAATAGCAGTAGATTAAGGCACAGCCACTGTGCCGAAATTGAAACAGCACCTGGCGTTCCGACACGTGGCACAACCACACTGGCAGAGGAATCACAGCAGTGGGCTCTGCCACGCGTGGCCTTGGGGGCCTCTAGTGTGGGAGCACTCACACAGCTGGAGGGGGTGGGGGGAGTCCTCCTGGGAGCACTCACAGCAGGCGACCACTGCTTACCTGGACTGGGTGTTTGGGAACTGTGGGAGCGGATTGAGTTCTACCCCTCTGACACCACCAACAAACTACTGAGAAGCCAGCAGATTTGGGGAGATACCTGGGACGTCCTTTAGGAGTGGGAACATCACAATGCAGGGTGCTGCTATGGATGGCGTGAAAATGGAAAACTTAAATGTGGGGATAAATGAGTTAGCTGGAATCAACACAATTGTCAATAGTAATTACTATCAGTTTGGTAATTCATATTCTCTCCTCTAAAAAGTGGCTTGATAACTGCGCCAACTATATTTTGACTGATAGGATACAAACCTTGAAAGGACATTGAAAATAAGAAAATTTTGACTGGTAAGATACAAGCCTTAGAAGGACTTACTACTGTTAAAATACAAGCCTTCGAAAGACCTACTAATGAAAATACAAAAAAAAATTCAGATACAGATGAATTTAGAACAGAACCTACTGCAGCATTGCATTATAAAACTGAAGAGGAGTGGTCTAAGGCTATTAGAAAACCAACATTTTTTTTATCCAGTTATACAAGAATGACCACCAGATGATAGACACCCACAAGGCTATGCAGAAGTTGACTGGAATCCTATGGAAATGTTAGATTTGAAGAGATTTAAGGAAGAAGTCATTTCATATGGTATGCACTCACCCTCTGTGAAACAGATGTCTAATTCATGAACAACTAGGAAGAGAATTATTCCACAAGACTGGAAAGATTTAGTTACAGCAGTATTGGAAACTGGCCCTCCGTTACAATGGAAATATGGTGCAGAGAGGAAGTTAGGGTACTTAAACAACAAGGTAGGGCTAGAGGTATTGATATTTCACAAGATCAGCTTCTTGGTGATCACACCGTGGCTCTATGCCATACAGCACCTTTGAATGTTTGGGATAGGGTTGAGGAAACATGAAAGAGGACTGAGTCATTTACTAAAATTATACCAGGCCCTAAAGAAGGAATCACTAATATTTTTTTTAACAGAGATTGACCTCACTTGTACAGACATTAGAAAATACTGACTCTTTGGCTTTTGAAAACGCTAATAGAGAATGCAAAGGGATAATTAGGTCTTTATAGGCAAGATCAGCACCAACAGATGAATGAATTAGAAATACAGCTAATATTAGAGCTCATGCGTATGAAGCTTCTTTGATAGTAGACGTGTTTTCTAAAAATTTTAAGAAAAATTAAAATGTCAGATGTTCTAATTGTGGCATGCAAGGTCTTCTGAGAAGGAACTGTAGGGAAGGTGTTCCTAGAAACAATGTTTTTTTTCCTAGGGATAATTCTTCTGTAGTGGGGAGGTGTGGCAAAGGGCAGCATTAGACTAATGAATACAGATTAACAAGGGACAGGCAAGGTGACCCTTTGCCATCTGGAAACACCTTAGGAGGCCTCTTGCAGCCCCAAGGTCAAATTTGGTTCAATCACTCCCTGTCAACATTGGAGAAGCTCCTCCACAGAGCATTTAAAAGTCTTAATGCCCCTTTTTAGAAACCACACTGCTGTGGATGACAAAACAGCATCAATAGACAAAACAAACATCTATAAATGATCAAAGACCAAAGCTAAAAATACAAATAAATGACATTGAAATTGAGGGTTTGGTAGACACAGGTACAGATGTAACAATACTTTCACTAAAACTTGGCATCCAGACTGGCCTCTTCAGGAGGTGAATGTTCAGTTTCTAGGGATTGGAACTTTATCTCAGGTGAAGCCAAGTACAAGGTGGGTCGAGTGTATAGGGCCAGAAGGACAGAGAGGAAAATTAAAGCCATATGTGGCTAACACAGCAATGAGTTTAGGGAGAGTTGATTTGTTGCAGCCAAGGAACATCCAGATTTACATTTTTCTAATCTTAGAGACAAACCATAAAATAAAGAACACTTCTGAGGAGTGTATACAGCGTTACTGTATTAGAATTAAAAACCCTTCTTCTTTACTTAGACAATACCTGATAATTCTTATTTGTATATAGCTTTACTCTGCTAGAGTTAAAACGTTTCTTCTTTAGACAATACCTGATAATTCTTATTGTATACAGCTTTACTATGTTAGAGTTAAAACCTTTCTTCTTTATTTAGACAATGCCTAATAATTTTTTATTGTATATAGTTTTACTGTGCTAGAGTTAAAAACTTTCCTGTTTATTTAGACAAAAAGGGGGAAATGTTGGAGGATATTCGATCACATGTGAACCCCGTGTTTGCATTTGCGT